AATTGGATATATGTGTGAGAGAAAAGAGTGCAGTCTCTCAAATAGCCCAAGGTTGTAGCTTGAGCAACTAAAAGAATGAGGTTACCATCAAAGAAGATGGGAAAGGCAACTGATGGAACAGGATTGGTGGAAGATCAAGATTTCATTTTTTAATGTTTATTTATTTATTGAAGTGGGGGGATAGAGGGGGAAGCAGAGGGAGAGAGAGAATCCTAAGCAATCTCCATGCTGTCAGTGCAGAGCCCAATGCAGGGCTCCATCTCGTGAACTGTGAGATCATGACCTGAGCTGAAATCAAGTCAAGGCTTAACTGGCTGAGCCACTCAGGGTCCTCAGATCAAGATTTCATTTTTAAACATAATGCATTTGAGATATCTATGGGATATCCAAATGGAAAGATCAGGTAGGCAGTTTGAAATAGTCTAGAGTTCAGAGGTGAGGTCTGGTACAGATATATACATTTAGTAATTTTACATATATTTGTGGAACAAAACAACTTATGAAAACCAGGTACTAAGCTCTGGGACACTTGAATCTTGAGTGCTTAATAAAAATGGGTGTAGCCAAGAAAGGAGCAGAGAATAAATGGCTAGTAAGAAGAAGGAAACCTAGAGGAATGTAGTATTTTAATCCAAGAGTAGAAAGTTTTTGCTGGAGGGAGAAAACAATTGATCATAAGTAAACTAAAAGTAAGATGAAGACCGAGAATTCATCGTTGGGTTTAGCAGGTTGGAGAAGAATTTCATGAAGTAGTAGGGAAAATGCCTGAGTGGAATATATTTAATAGAAATAAATACAAGCAGAAGCAGTGAAGAAAATGAACATATAGAAAACTAGTTTGGAGAATATTACTGTGGAATACAAAAATGGAAACGTAGTTGGCAGGGAAGCAGAGTCAAGAGAAGTTTGTTTGGTTGCTTGTTTTAAGATGGGAAACTTCTTTGCATTGTGATGGAAATATGTATATCCATGGAATATTACCCAGCCATCAAAAAAAAATGACATCTTGCCATTCTTAATGACATGGATGGAGCTAGAGTGTATTACACTAAGTGAAATAAGTCAATGAGAGAAAGACAAATACCATATGATTTCACCCATTTGTGGAATTTAAGAAACAAAACAGATGAACACAGGGGAAGAAAAAAAAGAGAGAGAGGGAAGGAAACAATGACAGACTCTTCACTATAGTGAACAAAGTGAGGGTTGATGGAGGGCGGGGGACAAGGAAAGGGCTAAATGTGTGATAGGTATTAAGGAGAGCATTTGTGATGAACACTGGGTGTTATGTAAGTGAAAACGCACTGAAATCTATTTCTGAAACCACTATTACACTGTATGTTAACTAACATACACTGTATGTTAACTATTGAAATAAAAACTTGAAATAAATAAAAAAAGAATTCAAACAAACAAAAAACGGTAAAGCTCATTATGGCAACAGGCAAGAAGGATACAAGGGTGTAGATGCTCCAATGTCTGAATAGAAGGTGATAGAAACCTAGTGACTTTCACTTTTATACATATGGTGTTTCATTTAATCCTAACAGTTCTTTGGGGTGGATGCTCTTGTTTTCCATGCCTTACAGATGAGAAATCCAACTCTTAGAGTCTAAATAACTTGTCCAGGATCATACTGTTCATAAATGGTACCTGATTTTATTTCAGAGCCATTGGTCTTGACCACCATGCTATGCTGCCTCACATGATTGTTGGTAGGACACTTCTGGTCAGAGTGATTGTTGATAGTTTTAAAGATGTGACCTATGAGCTCTTTATTATGGGGAAATTAGTACCGAGACTTAGGAAGTTTTCAAGTTGTGACAAGTTCTCAAAGGGTCAGTCTGCAGGGTTTTTTAATTCATAAAGTGTCTTATTTAGTGGCACTTTTAAGAACATCATATATCATGATAGTTTCATCTCTAATAAAGATCATCAATAATAGATGCTCCATAAATATGCAAATATTTATGCTACAGATATTACAGGAAACAATACAAAGTGCATTCTTCACAAAGTTCACCTTTTATTTAGAGAAAATGGATAATAAACAAGTAAGCAAATTAATAAATAAGATGGTAGTCACTTCTCTGAAGTAAATAAGTAGGAAAACATGAGAAAGAGTCCCTGGGGAAGAGGGTACTATGTTCGACAGTGCCAATGTAGTTCCCTTTGTAAAGGTGGTATCTCAATTGTGATCTGAAGAATGAGAAGCAACTCCTCTGAAAAATGAGAACATTCTAGGAAGTACAAAGCTGTTAGGAAGACAATAACTTGACACATTTAAGAAATAGTAAGAACAGTGTAGCTGGAATGTAGAGTGAAAGTGATATTGGTGGGAAATAAGGGTGGGAAAACTGACAGTGGCCAAATCTTACACCTATGATAAAAAGTTTGGATTTTTTTTCTTTTTTAAAATGAGGGCATTGGCAATCCACTGAAATGTTTTGAGAGAGAGGGATGATTTGATGTATGTGGTCATTAAGCTTGTTGCTCTTAAGAATAAAAATTACCTTTTACTTTGGCCCTCACACAAAGGCTGCCTACTTTTACACAGACTTGTATTAAAAAGGATGATTCTAGGCAGAACCAATATTTTTCTCATGGAGGGTTGAAACTTCTCCAGATACACGGTTAAAATAGATGGCTAAGGCACCAGAATTTCCTCCTATATACTATAGAAACAGTTATTTGAATCTGAAAAATTTTCGAAACGTTCACATCCGTCCATATACCAAAACAAAACACCTTTCTAGAGTGCCTTCACTACACAACACATGTTATAGCCAAAAAACTTGCCATTCTTCTGTCGGTCTCCTAGAAATGGCCACTGAGAGGGAAATGTGTGCAGAGCTGTATTGGGGAGTGCTTGGGAACATCTATACAGGAGTGAGGGAAGCAATGTTGGATGAAAGAAGATGGGGATCTGCCATACAACCCTTACAGGGGCCTCATGTGAGCCTAAGGAGGCCTGGAGATGGGATGGCCCTTCAGAGGGCCTACCTTGGCAAGGGGTCTGGGTCTTTGCACTCACCCCTTTAAAAGACAGTGATGTAGGAGCAAATTTGGGGGAGGCACTTAGCTACAGAGGGACTCAGCTGTGAGGTGCCAACAGCCAACAGGCCCAGCATTTAGGGAAATGAGTGAGTGCCAAAGTCCTAAAGGAAAGAGCTGAGTTGTCACACCATGTTTACTACGGTGACCGCCAAGTAGTGAGTAACTGATGGGTAAGTTAGTATTGCCCGTGGAAATTTTGATGAATGTATAGGAAATATGACCATGTCAATTCTAACTTCAAATTAAGCTACGCTGATGGTTTTAGTTGCATTTCAAATTCACCCCCAGTTATGTATGGTAAAATAATTCCATTATCAAGGACAGGGTTATTTAAGGATTCAGTGAAATAGTATGAATAAAGTACTCAACAGAATGGCCACATAGTAAGTACTCAATGCATGCAAGCTAAGTTAAATAAAGTGAACAAAATCATAGCTCCTAGAAAGTTACAATTTGACACTTATCTCTCAAATTTTTACTTACTAAAAAAAGTGCATAATCATTTTAAATTTAGATAGTTTATTTCTCTCTTGAGATATCTTCTAATTGAAGAACTATTCTGAAATGAGCAGGCATTATAAATGGAACTTTTTTTCTCTCATATTCAAATCTCCTTTTTAATGCTGTGTGTTTACCAAATTCTTCTCCTTCATTCTTTAAAAAAATATATATGATTTTAACTGATTTGGGGAAATTCTAATTAACAGTTTTTATTGTGTTGGGAAAGAGAAATTAATTTCTTATGGTAAAGATGAGTAAGAGGTTACGTTCTTTCTGCCAGCCAAATGAATTTGGAATAAAGTTGAGTGAGTGATTTTTTTCATTAGCCTGTGAAAAGGCTATTTATTTCTACATGTAATTATAAAACAAGTAATTCTGACTTAATGAAATAAAACCAACCCTGAAAACAAATAGGACTCATTTGCAGTTTCAACTAAATTAGATACTGAAAAATGCTTGCATTCTGGTGTGTTTGAAATGTCTAATGAAATTACAAATATAATATTTCAAAGAACAAGGATAAAAACTTTGATCAGAGAAGGAAATATATGTGCATAAATAACATCTCAAGAAGCTCAAAGTCACTTTGCCATTTTAAGCCTTCTCTTATTTATAAGTCAATGATATGAAATAATGCAGGAAAATGAGTTTCCACCCAAATCTTACTAAGAGGCTAAGTTTCACAGGAATAACTGTAAGTAGTTTACAATGTGCACAGTAGGTCAAATTGATATTGTGATTCATGAGAGTTAAATGTTTTATTTGATAAACGTAGAAACCCAAGATTGCCTCTGGCAGAAGTTTAAAATAGGTTATAAATCCGATTTAATGTTAACAGCAGGGATTTATAACAATCATAAACTGAAAACAACCCACGTTTTAATATGTTAGGATCATGAACTACATTGTATCAAAACCAAACTGTCCTTTTTTTTCCTTTAAAAAAGAATAGCCAATGAACTAGTAAAAAGAAGTTAAAATGGAGCAAAATCTCTTTCTTACACACACACAAACCTATACAGATATGCTATCAAATAGGAATAACGTAAGAAAATAATAACACTGTCACTTAGAATCATTGCCTTATATGTTGTACATAATGGCTTTCCTATGGTTTCTGCTGCAAGTTAATAAAAGTCCATAAAGTATGTAATAATGACAAAGAGCTACTGTCCTGGGATTAGAAGGAAATAAATTTTTCTAGCTCTCCATTCAGACAACACATTTGAAACCCGGGAGGATGGGACATTTGGGGATTGTGCTCTGAGTCAAGTAGAAACTCAGAGACAATTCTAGTTCTCTCTCGCTTTCTTTAAGTTACCCATGGCCTTCATTTAGCATATAGATCAATTAACAGACTACTGTTTGGGGGACAATACATGGTTTGCTCCACTCATCCTGCTTTTTTCCTTCTTTCTTTCCCTAAATCCCCATTGTTTTAGTTTCAGTCCTTCTGAAAGTAGACTCTGAGACAACGACTTGACTACCAATAATTTTGAGGAACATCTCAATCCTAGGAAACAGAAGCAAAGAACAGGACAAGTGACAGGGGAAAGGTATAGAAGCTTTATCTCAAGATGCATTATCAAGTTGGCCACCAAACAGGTGACTGGCACTCAAGCCCATGGCACATTCTGAAGAGTCTTATGAAATGTCTCAGAGCTGTTTGCCTAGGGGATGTGAGACAAAACCATTTGTCCATCAGTTCCTATCCCCATTTGGACAAAGCTTACTCCTCAGATATTAACTGCCCAGCACTTCTGAATGCTTTACAGGTTCCTAAGAATATTCCACATTCAATGTGTCAGAGAAGTTTTTAGGCAATAAGTGGTTGGTATGCTACCCAAGGAAAGGAACTAGTGGGTTGCATCTGCCAGTGCTGGTGAAGGGCTGCATGGAGATGATCACTGACTGCAGCAGAGGCAGGAGTGTGTGGCAGGACTCAGAGCTTGGTGAGGTGGGGCACTAGAGTGGTCTGAGACACCCATCTTCTTTCATGGTGTCTAGACCCTTTTAAGTTCCACATTTAGGGCTCATTCTTGTTGCCATTCCCTGTATCTCAATGTGATTTTATCTCAGTTGCATGACCCTTATATTTCTGGATCCAGATAAAAACAAAATAGGAATATCTTTAACACTAAATACTTTAAATATCTAAATAGCAGGCTGAAAGAGGGTCCATGCAGCAAAATTTTGCCCTCTACCTTATTCAAGGGCTCTCGTCAACTCAAGGGATGCCTATTCTTGGTTTTCCTCCATTCAGCTCAACCCTTAAATTAAGCAAGGAACCTGAAATTCCATCATGAGATCCTTCCCTGAAACACCTAGCAGAATAAAGAATTTTTCTAATACTTAGGACCATTTTGGGTTGGATATCATTTGACAATTCTAAAGGAAGAAAATATCTCCTCAAGTCATCAGTGTGAGCTAACTGGAATGAACGATTTCCTTTAACGTTTTCTTGGGGACTCTGCCATTTACCATCATATGCATTTTTATGTGTATTTTTTTACTGCCAAAATGTTTGTTCCTGATTGTGTGTGGGTCTGAAAACAATTTGAAATCATTATTTGGTTTCTATATTTGGGAAACAACACTACATCACTGAGACATGTTCAATTTATTTTTTAATGTTTATTTTTGAGAGAGAGAGATTGAGAGAGCACATTGGAGGGGCAGAGAAAGAGAAAGGATCCTAAGCAAGGGCTTGATGCTGGGCTTGAATCCATGAACCATGAGATTATGACCTGAGCCAAAATCAAGAGTTGGCCGATTAACTGACTGAGCCACCCAGCTACCCCTAGACATGTTCAGTTTATTAACTCTTCAACCCCTGTCATCTTTTGCCCTCTTTCTTGAAAATTAGAGTCTCAACAGTGTGGGTTTCTGCATAGTAGTATCAGTGTTTAGACATTGCTACCAAAGTCAACAATAAAGAGACAACATATGTTACCGGGAAAAAACAAAACAAAACTGGAAAGTCATTGGAAGTTTCAAGCTAAGAACTGACAACTAGCAGTTAAGAATCAGACTTAACTTCTTAAAGCAAGGATTAATTCTCTAAAATACATTGCTAAATGTGCCCAATCTGAGAAGCTTCAATTACTTTGCTTTTATTTAACATACTTTTGTCAATATTAAGCAAGGTACTGTGGTTATTACTCCGGAAGCATTCCTCTTTTCTTTTCATAAAAACTTTTAAGAGGTAGAAAATTAAGGGAAAAATCACAATTCCATTGTCAACTGGCAAGTCTTCAACAAGCCTCAACATTCTTTATTTATTTTTTATTTTTATATTTTGAGAGAGAAAGAGCACATGTGTGTGAATGTGAGCAAGGGAGGGGCTGAGAGAGGGGGCAAGAGAGAATCTTAAGCAGGCTCCACACCCAGCCAATGCTGGACTCAATCCCACAACCCTGGGAACATGTAAAGAGATTTTGGCTCTTTACATTTAACCTGAGCCAAAATCAAGACTTGGATGCTCTACCAACTGAGCCACCCAGGCTCCCCCAACAAGGCTCAAGATTCTTATTTTGGCAGTATCATTTGTCCATAGCATTGTCACTATAGAAGACAAAATAAATAAAGGGACACAATTCTCATTATTGAGGAAATAACTCTGTGCTCTGTAAAGATACAAGAGCCTTGCACAAACATTTACATACTCTATCATTGGTGTGAAGTTTCCTAGTACCACTGAAATATTAAAAAGAAATGTAAGAGCTGGAGTCAAAATAGATGGTTTTATGGAATTGGAAGAAGACTTATAGAAAATGGGATATTTGAATTTAGATTGATGGAGAGGAGCAGGAAATTCATTCATTGTGAGGAATAATACATGCACAGTTTCACAAAGCACACAGCATTCTGTCCAGCCACAATAACATTTTTCTATTTCCTTTAGTTTCTCTATGCTGCTTTTTCTCCAGATCATTGAGAAGCCGGCTCCCGCTTGCCATTCAAGTCTCCCCTTAAATATGTATCATTTGATTTATGTAGGCACTAGTCACTCTGTAGTACTGTATTTTATTTTCCTCAAACAACTTGCCTTAACTGTCTTATTTACTTGTCTATTCTATTCTATTGTCTGCCATCCCCCACTAAAAAGTTAACTGCATGAGAGAATAGAATTTGCCTATCTTCTTTAGCTATTTTATCAGTAGCAACTTGAACAATGCTCATAATGAGGTAACAGATCATATGTATTGAATGAATTGATTAGTCAACCACATATAACCACATATAATCTTGCCTCTCTTAGTGTGAGATGGGATTTGGGCTGTCCTTCTCTCAAAGTCTTTGTGTTCACTAGAGGTTTCCTTGACTATGTTCTTGCTTCATTTAAAATCTATTCAATGAAAACAAAAGAAAAAAAAATTGATGAATATTTTATGTGATAAAATACTTTTGTATCTGTCTTGTTAAGTTGTGAATTTGTCAAGATGGAACACCTGGTCTTTTATATTTACAAGATGATAATTTACCATGTAAATCTTACAGATTTTCTTTTGTTTTCTTTAATACCATTTAATGAGAGCTATCATTATATGGCATTGCTAAGAGTTTTAAGTTTTTAAATAAATGTGATTGCCGCATTGTTGTCATTAAAAGTGTCTTTTAAGAAATAATTTGCATAACAAAATAGTTAATAATTTATTTGTTTGGATTGTTGTTTAGTTTTTCTAAAGAGAAAAGTGGGATTTTATTCTGTGAATCAAGGAGAACACAAGAAGACTTTATTAGGACTTCTGAAATGAGGGATTGCCTCCTCTGTTTGAGACAGAAAATATGAAATCCTATGGCCCAGTAAATCTCTCACTTGCTTTTGAAGTCATAGACCACCACTTGCCCCACTTTAATGGTGAGCAAGCAACACATTAGGGATTGAAGTAAAAGAGATGTGATTGGATTAATACAAACTCTTCAGCATGCCAAGAAACAACTCAAATTAGTCTCCTGACAATCACAGCTCTGAAGATAAAGAGCAGCACATTATTATGTAGAGATGTTAGAGAAACTTAGATTATTATTAAAGAAAGAGTAGCAGAGGGTTGTTAATAACTGGTTTCAAGAATATAAAAAGTTCTGTAAAAAGGTTGACCAGATGTTTGCCATCTACATGGAGACAGAATCAAATTAAATGGTTGCAAATTACAACAAGAAAGATGTAAATTATACCTAAAAAAAACTTATCCACTGGGGAAGCCTATTGAAATAGAACAGTTATCTTTTACCAGTTCGGTATAAAATTACTTGGGAGTCAGAGGTTAAACAAGATAGTTATCTGCCAGGGTTTTTCTCCCAGCATGAAATAGACACAAGTATCCCCAAATAAAAAAAGGTGACTGCTACCACAATAACAAGATATACACATCATAATCTTACTCTTCCCCCTTTTATCATTATGCCTTTATTTGAAACCAGGGAGGACCGTGTACTACTTGCACCGTGTACTACATGGGAAGCACAGCTAGATTAAAGAGTTTGAAAAAGATGGAAATGAATGGGGAAGTTAAGAAGAATTCACAGAAAATGATTTGTGAATAATAGGAAACCCAAGGACTTTCATTCATGCCCAGTTCTGACGTCCCGAACAAATTATCTAGAAAACATCCCAAATAAAAGCTTCCTGAAACTGAATACAAACCATTTTAGACACATGCTCTATTTTTCTTTTTCTTTCTTTCTTTTTCTTTCTTTCTCTCTCTTTCTCTCTCTCTCTCTTTCTTTTGTTCTTTCTTTCTTTCTCCCTCCCTTCCTCCCTTCCTCCCTTCCTCCCTTTCCTTCCTTATAAGGGTTTAAAGTGTTCAGCGCTCCCAGAAGGATAGTTGACTCAAATATTTCAGGATCTTATACTAAGTACTTCAGTGGAGGGGCATCTGGGTGGCTCAGTTGGTTGAGCGTCCGACTTCAGCTCAGGCCATGATCTCGCAGTTCGTGAGTTCGAGCCCCGCGTCAGGCTCTATGCTGACAGCTCAAAGCCTGGAGTGTGCTTCAGATTCTGTGTCCCCTTCTCTCTCTGCCCCACCCCTGCTTGTGCTCTGTCTCTCTCTGTCTTCGAAAAATGAACACACATAAAACAAAAATTAAAAGAGTAAATACTTAAGTTGACACATTAGTTGTGTTGCAATGCCTTAACAATTAGGAGTTAACTAGATTGCAGGACTCTCTTCTTAAAACTGGACTTTGAAAAAATGTCTCAACAACATCTCAAGACTTTTTCTTTCAGGGACTATTTAAAGCTGAAGGCATGCTCTTTTGGCTCCCACTTCCCTAAGGCTATAGTTTAAGAGATAAATCTTGGAGCTCATCAACAAGAAAAAATGGTGCCTCTCTGAGACCATGGCCTTTTCACCTTGCCAGCTAGTACATTCAGCTCTGCCTTTATTAAGTAAAGGTGAGGAACTGTATTTTCATTTCTTCTCTGCCCCATTCCCATCTTCTGTCTCAACTAAATACATTCCCAAGATTATGTTGCCTGCTAAAAAATATATAAGAAATATGGTCACTCTGAAAGAAGCAGAGAAAAATTAATATACATTCAGTCATCAAACAT